CTGGAGCTGGGGATGCCAGTCCTTGGCTTGGTAAGGGTGGTGCCAGCACAGCCATGCAGAGCCCTGGGCTGGGGGCAGGGGAGGACAACTGTGAGCAGCATCCTTCCCTGGGGCTGCGACATGCTCTGGCCAGAGGTCTGCCAGATGACCTGCAGCATGAGCTTGTGGCCCTGGGTGTGAAGTTGTGGAGACCCCAGGTCCTCAACCCCACCCACGGACTCCTGAGGGCAGTCTCGGCAGGGAGGCCCAGCCACAGGACAGGAGTGTCTGAGTGTCACCCCAGCAGTTAGGTCTCCTGACTTTGAACCAAGGAAACCAGGGTCAGCCTGGCAAGGCTGGGGGCCTACACCTTCCTGTTTTCTCCTGCGGCTGTTCTCACACTCCTGTCTCTTAACCTCATGCCGGGTGTGCTTTTTTCCCCTTCTCTACTCATTCCTTGTACTTTTTCTCATATGTTTGGAGAATTTTGTTCATATTTGGCTACACTGAATTTGGACGAATCCTAAACCCTGAAACAGTGGTCCTCTTCCCCTAGAGTGGGTCTTGAGTATCAGGAAGCACTGGGCTGGCTCAAGGGCCCTGGCTATGTTCAGAGCCCACACCCAGGACACACAGTGGAGCTGGGACTGCAGGCAGCGGCTGAGGGGTGAGGTTTGCACAGAGCCTGAGCGTGGATTTGCCCCTGGGGTGTGGCGAACAGGAACCACGATGTCTAGTGTTCTTGTGCCTGAACCGCACAGCTCTTTGCAGATGCTGCCTGAGGAAAATGTGGTGTGAAACTGGGAGTCTGGAGCCTGTGGGCAGCACAGCCAGGAGCTGCGTGGCTAAGCAGGTACTTGTGGCAAAGGGACAGGCGCCCAGGACTCCTGGCATGGGGCCTGAGTCACTCCAGTGAGGGAGCTGCTTCCTTCAGGAAGTCTTGAGTTAAGACCAAGCAGATGCCCGTGGAGCATCCCGTCCTCCCCTCCCCATCTTCTCCCTGTTTCTGATCAGAACCAGCGCCTTAAAGTCCAGAAGATCCTCCTGAAAAGCTTCATGGACTCAGGTCCCTAAGCGATAGATCTGTGCCCGCGGGAGGCTGCGGGGGACAGCAACATATTTACAAAAGGACAGTGAGGTGCTTTAATTCCATGAGCAAATTCAACCTTTCCAGTCCGAGTGGATGATTTTATCATATTGTTTTGTTTGCTTGAATTTCATTAAATAGCTTTAAACTGCCAAAACCCAAAGATGTAAAACAGGAACTGAGTGATGTTTGCCAAGGTGCAAGGATTAAATAACCACATTCAGAGGGATTTTTTTTGCCCTGAGCACTTTTATTGGTTTTCATAATGCAGTCTAAGGTGCAGGAGAAAGCAAACACGGGTGTGATGGGCTTGGCCGGATTAGCCTGGCGAGGCCCTGGAGGAGCAGGAATCAGCTGCCTCTGAAGCCAGGTCTCCAAGCCCTTGCACCCATGCCCCCTGCTGGCCAGGCTGTCTGGTATTTCAGGAAACTCGAGACCTCTGACCACAAAAGAGGACATCTGTCCATGCACTTCCTGGTTGTCAAGTAATGTGAGAATGGAAAGAAATGATAAACTGTATAAATGAAGGCCGGTGCTCAGTGCTCCTATTATTACCTTGCCCACCGAGAACTGGACAAGTGCCTGATAACCTCTTTGGGCACAACAAGCCACAGCAGGCCCAAGAGATACGGAGCCCGAAGGAGGGTGGCTGGGACTAGCAGGTGAGGCTACAGGACCCCATTCTCCAAGATCAGGGCGCAGGGAAGAGGAATTGAGGCTCCTTTGACTGTAGTCCTCACAGTCCCCAGACCCTGCTTCCTGTGTGGAGAGTCTGCCGTGGGGGACTGCTGTCATCTCTACCCCCTTCTAGCTGGGAGTCATGGTCCCCAGGAAGCTCCTTCTGGTGTCCAGGATCCACCTTCCGGGTGAACACTCTCCCCTCCACTCCCTGCAGTGCTGTGGCCAGAGTGCCCCTCTTCGCTGCTGTTCAGACACTGAGGGGCCAGTTGGGCTCTGCTGTCCCAGCCCAGGCCCAGTACGCAGCCCATGCAGATTCCTGGGTCAGCCTTGGGCTCAGCTGCAATGTCCACATGCCGCCACTTCTTACAGAGTGTCCTCCTTGCACACCACAGGGGCAGGCCACATGGCACCAGTGCTACAGAGAGAAGACTGACTTGCTCCCCGTGGGTGGGGTGCAAAATGTCTCAGCCTCTCTGCTGAGCATTTAACCTCACTCCAATCCACTTGGCAGCTGCTCTCCAGGGCTTGTGTGCATCCCAGAGCCATGGAAATCTACAACATCGTGTCTGCAGAGGCCATATATTTGAGTAAAAGGAAAAAGGATTTATTCAAAGCTAGATCTGAGATAGAGGGGTCCATCTGCCTCGTTACCATCTCACCACACAGGGCAGGCCCCCTTTGATTTGAAGCTAAGTGGCTGGTAACAGCGATGGCTGCGTGGCCTCAATGAGGCCAATGCTGCTGTCCAACACTGGCCGGCTTCATGCACAAGCAGCCTGTGAGCTTGGGTGCAGGAGGCTGGATCTGCACCCCGGTGACAATGACTTAGCACAGGCAGCCTTGAGCCCCACTCTGGGCTTCCCACTTACTTGAGTGCCTTCCCTGGCTCCAGACACTCTCTGGGCCAGAGTTCCCAAAATTCAACCCTTCCATCCAGATTGACCCATTAAGGCTTTGTGTGTGTCCTCACAGACAGCGGCCCATCTAATCCCTTCAGTTTCCAAGAGCAACCTGGAACACAGCAGTCTGAATGCAGGGCCACAAGTGCCCCCTGTGGGGACTGTAAGTGGTTAACAAAGTTTTGTGCCTTAACTGTGTAAAATTATAAAAACCCCTTGGGCTTCCTGTTATCTACTCTAAAAAATATATTCTCCCTTGGGGCTCAAGGCTGTTCAACAATAAATGTTTCTTGTCAAGGCAACAAGCTAACACAAACTCCCTCCCCAACCATCTCCTATAATGTAGTCAGCTTAAGATGTATCTTGTAAAAATATACACTTATCACTAAGCTGTAAAAGACCTTTTAGTTATAAACAGTTTGCAGCTGTGTCAAATAAATGTAGTTTCTGTTGTTCTGTGCTAGATAACAAATTTGCTTACCAAACTGGATGTGAGTTCTGTTATAAATACCCGCCCTGCTACCTACGTTCGGGGCCGATCAGCTTTCTCCTGCGAGAGAAGTGGCTGACGGACCTGAGCTCAGTAAATAAAAGGCTCTATTCAAATTTCTATCTGGCTGAGCAGGTTCCTATGCAGAGTTGACCCATAACAGGACAAGAGCACAGCATGGATCTGCTGTTCTCAGGAGAGGGGCCCGAGTGCACGTGGTGCACGTGGCCATCACGACACACATCGGAAGTCACAGTGGGGTCTTTCAGGCCTATAGAGCTCTCCCCCGGTGAGTTGCCAAGGATCTTCCTACTTGGAGCAAGGCACACTCACAAAACCTCTGGGCTGGAGACCTAGAATAACACAGTGCTGTTATTTACTCTGCAATACTAAGAGCTCAATCCAGGAACTCTGCAGTGAGATATACCTCCAGGCTTTTTATCTTTTTACTTTGAGTCAGGGTCTAAGGTTCAACGTTGCTCAGACAGGGTTCAAACTGGCAATCCTCCTGCCTCAGCCTCCTAAGAGCGCTGGCATTACAGGTGTGCACCACCACACCTGGCTTGCCGCTGCTATATTTTAAGCCAGTAACACAGTGTTTTCCTCTGAACATTTTTCATATTTTGCAGTGTGACGGTTTAAGACTATTGTTACCTTTCATGAAAGCAACACCCAGGTGATGCTGGAGAGGGAATTCTGGTTCGTATTAGTGATTTCCACTGAACGCTAGGATCTCACAAGGATTCGGCCCACAGCTTGTTGGTGCCTGTTTTGGTTTTTGTTCTCCCCCCTCCCCCCCTTTGTGGTGCTTCGGACCGAATCCAGGAATCCGTGCATGCCAGGCAAGCGCTGAGTTACACCCCAAATCTCTTTATTCTTACTTTCTGAGATATATTTTACGCTGGTTTCCCCCAGGAACCTGGATTACTTCTGGTTGTTAGAATTTTCAAACCTAGTCCCAAATCCCTAACAGCAAAATCAAGCAATTCTCCAGCACAGCCTTAAAAGAGGTAGAAAAGCCTCACTAGTGGGCTTTCCAAAATAGGAACGTGTAATCTCAGTATTTACCAGGACAGCCCGAAGGCGGGGAGGACGCGGCTTGTTCAAATGCTAAACCCTGACTGAGGCAATTTCCTCAAATTCTCAGGCCTGAAAGGTTGGATTTGTTAAGCGTTCCCTCCGGAGGCCCATGAAATTTCCGCCTCTCCCAAGAGTCGATCCTGAGCGACCGGGCGCTGACTGCGGGGGGGCCTGGCCACCCAGTCCCCTGGGCTGAGCCCTCCCTGCTGTGGGCCTGGGGATGGTCCCCGTGCGGGACGCATCCAGATTTCCGGCCCTCTGCGCTGTTGCAGCCCGATCCCTAAGGGCGCTGCTCTAGCCTCCTCTGGCTATGGGTGGGACAGCTCCAAACCGGAGGTGCGTGCTAACCCGCAGACGCTAGGGCCGCAGCAGACAAAGCCTGTAGAGGAAGCCCAGCCTGGGGCCAGGGACAGCCTGGGAGCGCCGAGCGCGGGCAGAGGGAGGAGCCGCGTCTACACCCTCCTGAGCTGGCTCTGGGCACACTGCCCCGCCCTTCGTGAACCTCTTCGACTGGACCCCAGGTCAGACTTGTTACTCAGATCTCTCAGCCCCGAGAAGGATGAAGGAGTGTAGCACGCATCCGATTTCCCACGCACTTCGCGTCACGGCCTCTCGAGGCGCTCAACCTTGCCTCCTTCTACTCCCGGAAGGCGGTCCGCCACAGCCTCTGCCCGAGACCCCGCAGGCGGGAGCAGCCATAGCCCGCCCCTTCCTCTGCGCTTGCTCCGCCCAGTCGGCCTCACCTACTGGTTCCTACTGCGCACGTGGGCGCCGGACCTGTGCTATGCCGCGCGCACCTCGGTGTAGTGCGGTGCGCGCTCTGCTGCGCCGCCGATACCGCGAGGTGCTGCCACTCACCACCTTCGCGCGGCGCCTGGGGCCCGAGGGCGCGCGCCTAGTGCGGAGTGGAGACCCCGCGGTCTTCCGCGCGCTGGTGGCGCAGTGCTTGGTGTGTGTGCCCTGGGGCGCGCGGCCGGCCCCCGGAACGCTTTCCTTCCGCCAGGTGGGCAGCTGCGGGGTGCAAAGCGGGTGGGGCACAGATTTTTTTGTCGTCCAGGTGACTCGGGATTCTGTTCCCCGCCCAGGTGTCCAGCCTGAAGGAGCTGGTGGCCCGTGTGGTGCAGCGGCTTTGTGAGCGCGGCGCACGGAATGTGCTGGCCTTTGGCTTTGGGCTGCTGAACGAGGCGCGCGGTGGGCCGCCTCTGGCCTTCACAACGAATGTGTGCCACTACCGACCCAACACGGTGACAGACTCGCTGCGCGGCAGCGGCGCCTGGGGGCTGCTGCTGCGCCGCCTGGGTGACGATGTACTGGTCCACTTGCTGTCGCGCTGCGCGCTCTACCAGCTGGTGGCGCCCAGCTGCGCCTACCAGGTCTGCGGGCCTCCGCTGCACGAGCTTGGCGCCCGCACATCATCTCTGTGCGGCGCGCAGGGTCCCCGATCGGTCCTTGGGTCCTCACGCCGACCCCGTAGTCGCAGCGCAGACGCCAGTCCGACTCCGCCCAAGAAGGCCAGGCGCGGGCCGGGAAACAACGAGCCGCGCGCCGTGCCTCTCGCGGCCCTGTCCGTCGAGGGCGAGTCGTCCCCATTGGGGGGCAGCAGGAGCATTCCTGGGCCCCGCATGGCTGTCGAGACCAAGCGCTTCCTCTATTCGAGGATAGGCGGCGGCGCGGAGCGACTGCGCGCCTCCTTCGTGCTCAATGCGCTGCCGCCCAACATGACCGGGGCGCGAAAGCTCGTGGAGGCAGTGTTCGTGGGCGCGTCGCCCGTCAAGCTTGGGTCACCCCACCGTTCCCGCGCGCGCCGCCTGGCCCCACGTTACTGGCGGATGCGACCCCTGTTCCGCGAGATGCTGGCCAACCACGCGCGGTGCCAGTACGGCGCGCTACTCCGCGCGCACTGCCCGCTGCGAGTTGTGGCAGACCCCGCCGAGGACACCCGCACGCAGCGCCTGGCTCAGCTGCTGCGTGCGTACTGTAGCACCTGGCAGGTGTATACCTTTCTACGAGCCTGCTTGCACCGCCTGGTGCCCGCCAGCCTCTGGGGCTCCAAGCACAACGAGCGCCGCTTCCTGAGCTGCACGAAGAGATTCCTCTCTCTGGGCAAGCGTGGAAAGCTGTCCCTGCAGGAGCTCACGTGGAAGGTGAAAGTGCAGGACTGCTTGTGGCTGCGCTCAAGCCCAGGTGGGTGCGAGGCAGGGATTGGACAGGCCCAATCTTGGTTGGTTTCAGAGATTCAGGAGATTCATGTTCCTGCTTTTCCATGGGGACAGGAGGTGGAAGGGATGCTAAGGAGTGCTGCTAATGGGAGCTGGGAGAGTAGTGCACACGACCCTGTTGACCTCAAGGTTGGGGGGATGGTGCCTGGGGCAAAAATGGGAATCGCACCCCTCAGAGCGTGAGAGCAAAGGCTCCTAGGTGCAAAGGATGCCTCTGGTCACCATTGTCCAGGAATGCTTCCACCTTCTACAGGGCAGGATAGAGGGCAGAGCAGCACATACAGACTGTTTCCTTGAGCAGAAGGTACCATTCTTTTTCAGGCTAGAGCAGGGACCCTAGGGAGGCTCGAGAGCCTGCTGTGAGCAGGGCCAGCCTCAGCCTGGGGGCCCTCGGCTGTGCAGACTTGGTATCCCGCATGCAGTGGCAGCGAAGATAGACCTGGTCAGTTAGACTCTGCCAGGAGCATTTGCCCGGCTGGCTGCTCTCTGGCAACCGTGCGGTGCAGGTTTAGAAATTCCTGAGCTCAGCCCCAAAATACTGGATCAAAGGTAGCAGTCTGCATTTCCTGTTCTAGTCATATGCTGTCTCTTGCTTGGTGGCCTCCTGTTGATTTAGGCTCAGCTACAGGATGCTTTCCTCACATGTCCCTCCCCTATTCCAGGGAGGTCCCCAGGTCCCTGTGGAGCCTTCTGGTTCTCAGTTGGGGTCAGTTTTATTTCTTTCCCTGGCTGTTACATCCCCCTGATTTCTGTGGGTTTAGTCTTTTTTTTCTGACTTCTGTAGTTGCGTGGCTATGCACGTCCCTCTGAGTGCAGCCTTGGCTGTTCCTGGTACTCACAATGTAGTCATTTCAACACAAGTGGCTTTAGATATTTTCATTTTTACATTTTAAATATACATAATGATGACATTCATCTCCAATCCCTTTGTTGTTGTTGTTTTTGGTGGAACCGGGGATTGAACTCAGGCCCTTCGCTTGTCAAGCAAGCGCTTATTCTACTGAGCTATCTCCCCAGCCCCTCCAATCCCTTTTTCCCACCCTATTTACAAAACCTTTTAAAGGCCAGGCAGATAGCTCAGTGGATTAAAGTGCCAGTTTTGGCAGATGCAGGGACCAGAGTTTGATCCCTGCCTGCCATGCTGGCCCCACCTTCGGTGTGTGCTGAGACAGAGATTGGGACTGGGCGTGGTGGTGCACACCTGTAATCCCAGCACTTGGGAGGCAGAAAGCTGTGTAGTGAAACCCTGTAGACCCTGTACTAAATACAAAACAAAAGCTTTGTTTCCTTTTTTTTTTTTTTTTTTTCTGGTTTTCTCCCCCGCTTTCTCATTTGAACATATTCTTCCCATTTCCTAGTGTCAATTATGTATTTTGGTCCGTATTTATACTTTCACTTTCCTGCAAGAGCTGGTTTACAGTCACACACCATCATGCCCAGTCTCAATCGATGTCGATGTCTCAGCGCACCCTGAGGGTGAGGCCGGCACAGCAGGACCAGGGATTGAACCCCTGGGCTCTGCACCTGCTTGGAGGCACTTTAATCTGCTGAGCTATTTGGCTGGCCTAGTAATTTTGGAAGTATAACCATTTTCATTATACTGGTTCTTCCTACCCGAGAACAAGGGATATTCTTCCATTTTCTGATATCTTCTTTTTCAGAGTACTGTAGATTTCAACATAAAGTTCTTTTACTTCCTTCATTAGACTGCTTCCTGGGTATTTAATATTTTTGGATGCTATTGTGAAAGGTGTTGTTTCCTTAGTTTTTCTCTCAGTGAGTTTGTGTACGGGAATGCTATTGCTTTTGAGTATAGGCTCAGTATCCAGCTACGCTACTAAATTTGGTTATTACATGTAGAAGTCTTTTGTTGGTGTTTTGGGGGTCTTCAAATGATGGTAATTTAACTTCTATTGAGATGACCATATGGCTTTTGTCCTTGGCTTTGTTACTATTACATTCACTGACTTGCAGATGTGGAGCTAACCCTACATTCCTAGGATGAATCCAGTTCAGTCATGGTTTATAATCTTGATGATATGTTATATTCTGTTTGTCCATATCTTATTAAGGATTTTTTTTTTGGGGGGGGTACTGGGAGTCGAACTTGAGACCTTGCTTATTTTTTTTTTTAAATTTTTATTTATTTGAGAGAGAGAGAGAAAGAGAGAGAGACAGAGAGAGAGTGAGTGTGTGTGGTGTGTGTGTGTGTGTGTGTGGCCAGCTCAGCCCACCAGGGGGCGGGGCTGGCTGGCATGTGGTGCTGGGGGGATCGAACCGCGGTCCCTGATGCTTTGCTAAGCTTGTTCTAAGTAGGTGCTTTAGACCACTGAGCCATCTCTCCAGCCCCGAGACCTTGCTTATTGAGAATTTTTGTGTCTTATGTTCATTAGGGAGATTGACCTGTAGTTAAGATTTTTCGACTCAATCCTTCTGTTTTTGGTATTGGGGTAATGCTTGTTCCAGGCATGAGTTTGAAAATACTGCTTCCCATTCAGTTTCAGTAAAGACTCTAAGAAGTAGGGACAGTAGGTCTTCTCTAAATTTCTTGTAGAATTCAGCAGTGAATCCATCAGGACCTGGGCTTTTCTTATTTGGTAGAGTTTTAGTAACATCTTCAACTTCATTGACTGATATTGGTTTATGTAAGATTTTTATATATTCTTCATTCAATGTTGGTAACTCATATGTACCTAGGAATCTGTCCATTTCTTCTGTTTTCTCCATCTTAATAGAAACACAGGTTCTTGAAGTAGGTATTGATGATCTTTTGGATTTCCACCTAATCTTTTTGTGATTTCACCCTTTTCATTCCTAATTGTATGGATTTAAGTCTTACCTTTTTTTTTTTTTTTTTTTAATGAGGTTGGCAAAGAGTTTGCCAATTTTATTTAGTCTTTCGAAGGAACCAACTCTTCAATTTATTGTTTCTTTGTGTTGTTTTCTTCATCTCCATTGCATTAATTTCTGCTATGCTTTTTGTAATTTCCCCCTTGTATGAGCCTTGCACTTGGCCTGCTTTTTTTTTTTTTTTTTAATAAGTTTGAGGTTGAATATTAAACTGTTTGTTTGAGCTTGATCTTTCCTAATATGGGAATTCACCACTATAAACTTCGCATATAGGACTGGTTTCATTGTGTCCCATAAGTTCCTGTATGTTGTAATGGTATTATCATTTAATTGTAGAAACTGTCTTATTTCCTCTTCAATGTCATCTCTGACCAATTGGTTGTTCAAGAAGGTGTTAATTTCCATGTGTTTATGAAATTCTTGTAGTTTTTCTCGCCATTGATTTGCGGTTTCACTTTAGTATGGTCTGACAATATTCATGGGGTAATTTCAATTCCTTTGCATTTACTATGTGGCCTTGTTCTGTGGGCTAGTATGTGGTCTGCTTTGGAGAGGGCGTTGCATGTGCTGCTGAGGAGAACATGTATTTTGATGGTGTGGGGTAGGATGCTTTAGACAGCCACTAAGTGCATTTGTTCAAAAGTTTGATTCAGTTCTGATTATTTCTTTTTTGTGATTTTTTTTGTCTAGTTGATCTGTTTGTGACAGTGGGCTATTGAAGTCCCCCATTACCACTGTATTAGTGCTTTTTTGATTTTTTTTTTTTTTTATGTCTGTTAATATCTGTTTTGTGTAGTTTGGTGCACTAGGTTTTGGTGGTTGTGTATTTCTGATTGTTACCTCTTCCTCTTGGATTGTTCCCTTTATAAAGATGCAATGATCTTTGTCCCTCTTCATCAATCTTGACTTGGAAGTTACTTTGTCTGCAAATAGAGTAGCTAAACCTGCTTGTTGTGGGTTCCTGTTGCGTTGGAGCTCTGTATATCTCACCTGACTGTCAGATTCTTTTACACTGTTGCAGCTGGCTCTTCTTGGAACCATTGTGTTTTTTTGGTTTCTTCCTAAATGCCATTTGCACTGCCTCTTGCTTTCTCACTGACTCCAGTCAGCCTTGTGTTATTCTTCTTGCATCATCTACCAGCTGCTGGATTGACTTCGCCTGGTTCCTACTATTTTTAAGCAATTTTTTTCCCATGAACTAACCTCAGTTCTGTCTTCTATATTTGATCTTCAGTCTTCACATGGGCTCATTGTGCTGTATTTACATTCAGTGGAATTTTTAATAGCCCAGATAACTGTTTCAGTCTGTCTCGTGGATTCCATTTCTTTCCTGTGTTGGGCACTCGTGGCTTCCATCATTTTCTGTGCTCTATTTTTTTTTATCTGTGTCTTCTCTAGAGTCACTGAGAATGTCTTTCACTATGGTCCCCATCTCTGTAATTATATGAGAAATTGTTTCTGATTTGATTTTTTTCTTTTTCTTTTTCTTTTTTTTTTTTTTTTTTCAGAACCGGGGATTGAACTCAGGCCCTTGCGCTTGCCAGAGAAGCGCTTATTCCACTGAGCCATCACCCCAGCCCTTGATTTTTTTCTAGAGCCACATTCTTTATGTGCTTTGTGACTTCCTACCGCTTTAAAGAGCGCAAGTGAGTAGCCTTTGAAGTGTTCCCCCTCACTGTCCCCAGGTTTGCTTTGCTGAGCTGGGGGTCTGAGGTTGCATTTTAAGTGTCTGCTCATATTTTTTTCTTTTCTTTTTTTTCAGTTTAATTTCTAGGTTGATTCTTATACATTGCCGATGGTGAATGATAGGTTCTGGCCCTAGTATAAATTGCTGAATCATTATGGTGGTCATCTAATATGGCTGACGCCCTTAAAACAACAGCCCGTCTTTCCCAAGACCACCTCCCCACTTCTTCCCCAACTACAGTCCAGGATGCAGTTTCTTTCCACCCTTCCCACTGCCTCAGGGAAGACCCCCAGTCAGCTCCGTCAGGTAGATCTAAGCATCCCCTCTAAACTCCATCCCCAGCGAAAGGCCATGGAAGCCTCAGCCTCCCTTTGTTCCAATCCAGAGAATCCCTCATCTTCTCCACATTCTCTCCATGTCCTCAAAGATATTAAAACCGCTTTCCTTTTTTTCCTTCTGTCTGTTTCTCTGCTGTACGGGGCGCCTGAAGAAACCTATCAGTGAGTAGCTTAATTGCTAGTATTTAGAATTATTAAGAAATGACTACTTCTCAGAGATGTCCTCCGGGTACAGTTGGATTTAGGTTTTGAGTCTGTTGGAGGATCCTCTCTCTTCAGTTTATTGGGGATGAGAAGTTGCTGCATTCTTGGTCCACCTCCTTGGTCTTTGGCACTGTCCTATAGTATTTTTTATGACTCTTAGACAGTGAGTCTTGGAATACCCGACAGAACAAACTGAGTCAAACAGTTATGTCCCCTTGGCTAAAGTGGTACAATCAGCAATAACAATAGCATCAAACACAATCTAGAAATGACAAACTGAAGTAACTACTAATTTTTAACCATGTGTACTGTATTTTGGGGCTCATAACGAAGTCTAAAATGAACTAGAAAATTGTATTCAGCAAATAAGCCCTCAATATGGCAATTTTACCCTCAGGGGAGAAAATTTAAAAGGGGTTAGTAGAAACAAATAGAGAAAAAGAAAAAAGAAGAGCTAGGAAGTGAGGCTGGAAGATCATGCAAACTTTAGGAAACTGGAGAAGGCAGGAGGGAAAGAAAGAAGAAATTTTTAAAAAAAGAAATAAAAACAGAACAGATCTAGAAACTGTGTTCACAGTCATATGAAAACAAGAACAAATCAAAGACAAAGTGAACAAACCCAACAAAACAGAAAGAAGAGAAAATAAGGGGAAAAAAGTCCGCTTGAAGGCGTGTCTGTGTGGTCCTTGGTAGATCCCTGGTAGAGTCCAGATCTGAGTTGATTCCTCCCACTGCTCCAGCTGTAGCTTTTTGGCGAGGTTGTGGGTCGTGGATCATCCCAGGAAGCCTGTGCCTTTTGTTTCACCGAAGTTCTGGCTGGGAGGCTGGAACCATGTTTGCTGAGCCTGCTGTAGTCTGTGTCCCTCTTGCAGGCTTAAACTCAGATCCTTGACCTCCTGCCAGCGCCTTCTCAGTTTTGCCTCACCCTAACACTGGAAGCTGCTCCATAGAGCCGACTCAGTGTTTTGAACTGCCTTATCCTGGGGGACAGTAGAACTTAACTAACTCCCCAGCCACTGCAGTTCTTTTCATCCATGCTCTGTTCGACTGCTGTGTTTCTGTGTGGATGCCTCTGGGGTCACCAGTAGTCAACAGGGGCCTGCAGGTTCGAGCCACCCCTCCCACACAGCCTGCTTGCCTCCTTCATTGAGGTCGTCTCTGCTCTCCCTGTGGGCTTCACTTTTCACCCAGATCCTTGCTGAGTCTCGGCAACCCACTTCCCTCCTTGTCTCCCTTGACCTTACTGTGTTCCAGCATCTGCACCCTAGATCCCAGAGAAGCTGTTTCTCTGCTCCTCACCACTCTGCCCTCTTCCCCGAAGCTGTGGCTTTGGGTACTTTCTAATTTTGTGATTTCTTTCATCTGTGCATTGAGAAGTCTTGATTTCCAGACTGTAAAAGCATCTGGATGATTTTTTTATAACGGCTTTAGAGCACAGTGGTGCTGGCAGTCTGTGCAGTGCCACTTATGTGACATTGGTGGAAGACTTTTCAGCCGTCTGATGTGGGGACCGTGTCCCCAGGTTTTGTCTTGAGTTTGAAACCCTGAGCTGGTTGCTGGATTCCCACATCAGCCAGTCAAGCTGCTGAGAAGCAGTCCTGTAACCTGAAGCACTGGGAGCATCCTCAGGTGGGCAGTGGGAGTGTTTGTTGCTTGTGCTCCAGGGTCTTGCAGAACTCGACTCTGGTGGCTGTCACCACCCTCGCACTCTCAGCTGCCTGAGTACTGCTACTGAGCCGGCTCACCGTGTGAATATTAATTATCCCTTAGTTATTATGGACTGATCAGGCCCACAATCTCCCTAAAGGGTGTGCAGCAAACGCTTAAATAAGAGTCAAGTGGAATGATTTTAGGGCTGCAGGAGGATCGAAACCCTCCAACAGATTATGAGGTTCTCTGGGAGCTAAGACCAAGATCTTCTCAGGGTGGCCCATATTTACTCAGTTATCAAAACAGGGGAGGGGAATACTGAATAAAGGTTGGAATCTCTCAGGGACTTCAAACAAGACGTTATGTTAATTTAGGAGAAACTGTTGTCCCCAGGAAGCTCCCCAGCCAGGAGTGAGGTCCCTGCATCCAGTCCGTCTAGTTAGGTGAGGTCGGAGCCAGGTGTGCTTAACCGTGGCCTTTTCTTGTCCTTTGAGGTGCATCACAGCTTCCCCGGCCACTACAGGCCTCAGTCGGGACCAGTGCCTCACAGAGCTTCACTTCCTGTGAGCTCACTGCCCACCTCCAGACACGGGGCCTAGGTCGTGGACCGACTCTCAAGGAAACACGGAAAGCCAACTGGCCCGTGTAAATCCTGCGTCGAGTCGCGTGGTGGTCTCCAGCACTGCCTTTTGCTTGGTATCTTCCTGATGCATCTTTTTCTTCTGATTTTTATGTTCAGCTTCTTCATACTTTCATAGTTCACGATGTCTTACTAATGGCTGACATACAGATGAATTTTGAATTTTATTCCCAATCCAGTTGGATGTCTTCATTTATTGCCAGTTTCATGGTTGGAGATGTGGTTCCTGTCTGATCCGTGTGCTCTCTGTGTGTCCTCTTTCTTCCTATCTTCAGGACTACAGTCTGATTCCCCACTGAGGTGTTAGCATCCTTTTTTTTTTTTTTTTTTTTGCCTCAGATGGTCAAAGGCATCTGAACAGTTCTCTGCTTAACAGTCCCCACTTTCCTCCTAAGCAGTGAACCAGCTTTGGCCCATCTCACTCAGCACTACCTGCTCGCAAGCCCTTCCTTGCTGACCTGGCTCTACCCAGGCGTCTTTGCTGGGTTCAGTATCATCCTTACTGGTCATTGTCCACCTAGGTGTTCATCTCTCTGCTCCCATCCATTGCTGCCTCTGGCTCCTTCTCTTCTAGGTCTCAAGTTTCTTTTGTGTTTGCTGTTGGTGGTGAACTTGGCTTTATTGGCTGCATCTCCTACTGGGTCCAGAGGTGCCTGTGGAGCTCTTGTTACAAGCCACAGCATAGGACTCAGAGGTCCATGGAGAAGGACAGTTGCCTGGGCTTGTGGCAATCAATCTGCATCATCTCTTACCAGTGTGACAGCACATGTGCCTGGCCAGGGCTACCCAGGATGGGAGCCCAGGAGTTTCTGGGTCTTACTGCACAGTGGTGATGAGCTTGGTGTCCTGCCACCCAGCCACGTCACTGGCACCACGGTCACTGAGGGAGTACATCATGCCCTCTCCACGTTGCTCACAAATCAGCATGAGATCCAAGTCAGCACCATTCAGTGGGACTAAAACCTGGGCCCTGTGTATGGCGTTAATATTTCTAGCAGCTAAGCTTAAGAAGCAGAAAGGGTGAACAAGTTCAGTGATGTTGTATGCATCTTACCAGAGCCTGTCGTAGCTGGACTGTGATTGCCCTGAGATTATCTTCAGGGTCTGGTGCTGGGGCATGGTGTGCCATGGCCTGACCACAGCGCTGGGCAGTGGGACTGGGGTAAGGTACAGTCTGGTGGATAAGGTGCCGTGTGCCTCTCGTTCCAGGGGGTGGCTATGTTCCAGCCTCTGAGCACCGCTTGCGGGAGCGGGTCCTTGCCACATTTCTGTTCTGGCTGATGGACACGTACATCGTTGAGCTACTGAAGTCATTCTTCTACGTCACGGAGACCACATTCCAGAAAAACAGGCTCCTCTTCTACCGCCGGAGCCTGTGGTCCGAGCTACAGAGCATTGGAGTCAGGTGTGGTGGGGTTGTCGCGTCACCATCCCGTGGGGTTCTTGGTGTCTGGAGATGAGAAGTTGGCTCTGGGGGTGGTGCTGCCTGCTAGCCCCCACCCCCAATCCCATGGGTACCGGTGGGGACCCCTGCAGTGGCTTTGGCACGGATGGCCTGTAGTCAAGTTTGGGCTGGACACACCCTCAGACTCCTGAAATGCAGGGCTTTATGCTGAGCGGCAGCAGGCGTGGCGAGCCTACGCCTGTCTCCAGCTGTGGATGGTGCTGCTCTGACTCAGAGTGGACTCCGTGCTGGCTTCGCCCTCCATTCTTGGGGGTCCCTGGTAGCCTGATCAAGGCTTCCTGAGCCCCGTTGTCTGCTCTTTGGTCTCGGGGCTTTTCATGCTGTGTCCTGAGCCAGGACATCAGTGGGAGGAGCCACAGTGCCCAACCTCAGAGACACCATGGCCAGTGGGCATCCCATGACAGGCGCAGGAGATGGGTGGACCGGACGTTGGGGGCCCTGGAGCCTACCTGTGAGGCCCCCATACTGACCTCCACCCCTGGCAGGAGCCCACCCGGGGCTAGCCTGTGCTCACTGCTGGCCCTGGACTTCACGTCACGTGTGCCTCTCGTGTGCCCTGCTGCCCTCTGTCCCAGGAAGCACATGGAGAGGGTGCAGCTACGCGAGCTGACAGCCCCGGAGCTCAGGCTGGCGCCACCCATGTCCAGGCTCCGCTTTGTGCCCAAGCTCAGCGGGCTCCGACCCATCGTGAGTGCAGGTGTGGCAGGTGCCAGAGCCCCCCGTGGTGGCAGAAAGGTGACTGCATGGTGTTCCCCAGCCCTTACTGGGTGCTGGAGAATATGAGGGCGCCCCAGGGGCTTGGGTTGGGGGCAGTGGAAAAGATGGGGCTGGTTCATCAGATTCAGAGGGTTTCATGGGGGAGCTGGTAGGCAGGGGGGGGGCTGCTCCTGCCATGTCCCAGGCCTCATGGGACTGTATAGCGTCTTGGCACGGGGTGCCCTGTGTGACCCCCCATAAGCCAGCCATGCAGCCCCAGGCTGGGGCCTCATAGTGCATCAGGCCTTGTTTGAACCCTACCCACAAGCTGGCCCTGTACCCCCAGGCCCAGCAGTTCAACTCACACCTTAGGACCCTGTTCAGTGTGCTGAACTACGAGCGAAGCCGACGGCCTGAGCTCCTGGGCACCTCGGTGCTGGGCCTGGATGACATCTACAGGGCCTGGCGGGCCTTCGTGCTGCACATACGGTCCCAGGACCCTGCGCCCCGGCTGTACTTCGTCAAGGTAGGTGCTGGCACTCCCCCCACATCCTGTGAGTTCCCAGGCCATCCAGGCACCAGGGCCCTGTGGAGCAGCCAGTGCAAGTGGCCCTAGGGTTCCTCTGTCACTGGACATGGTGGTCTTCAATTCTCTCCCAAGCAGAGAGAACAAAATACCCCAATTCCTTCTGGGGACACTCAGTTCCAAGGATAGAGATTTGGATTTTACGTGAGGCCCTGCACCTGTACTCCAGCTTCTTGGGGTCCACCTGCTCAGGCAGGATCTCCTGGTCACATAACCACTTCAGAGGGAGAGAGAGCACTTGGCCACCAGGCTCAGGAAGGACACAGGGTGGGGGTGCCCTCCCCCACTTGGTCCATATGGCTGTGGCTCTGGCTCCTGCAGAGCCTGTAAAAGCACGAGTGTGGCTGGGTGGAGCCAGGTTCCTGTGGGTGTCCCGTGGTTCCTGTCCCTGACACTCCCTGTGGGACTTACTAATGGTCTGAATGGTGGGCCCTGCCCTCCTAGCGCAAAGGCAGTGCTCACATTCTTCTGCACTCTGCAGGCAGACGTGTCTGGGGCATACGACGCCCTCCCACAGGACAAAATCGCAGAGGTGGTTGCCAACGTCCTCAGGCCCTGGGAGAACACGTACTGTGTCCGCCACTATTCTGTGGTGCAGAGAGCCTCCAGGGGACGCACGCGCAGGTCGTTCAGGAGACAGGTAAGACAGACATAGCCTGCTGGCCACATTCGTGACATGTACATGCACAGTGCAGGCGTCATGTACACACTCATGACGTGTGTCCACTGCACAGGATGACTGTGGCCTATGTGGCAGTGTGCAGGTGTGTGGCACCTGACTCCCTCCATGGGGATCATAGTGAGGTGCTCTGTCCCTCTCCCAGCACACTGGTGGCCCAGTGTGGCACCGCACGTGTCCAGGTCCTCTCTTCTAGCCCTAGGGCCCTCTGAGTGAGCGTTCCAGGCTCAGACCTGGTGGCATACACAGCCCAGGATGCTCTGCTTTTCCCTGAGACAAAATGGGCCGGGGTCTTAGACCTGCATGTGCACATCTTTGGCCAAGTGGTAAGCCAAGAGAGGGTGTCGATTCCCTGGGTTCCCTCCTGCTCCCGCCACCTTGGTGAGTCCCAGGCTGAGTGCTGCCCGTGGTCTGTCCTCCCTGTCACTGCGGATATCAGTAGCTTCCAGGCTGGGCCTTCCTTTGTGGCCCTGTGGGGACGTCCTGCTGCATCAACTGAGCACAGCCCCGCTGGTGGTGGCTAGCCCAGGAGTGGAGCCACTGCTCACTCTGGTTGTGGTGGTTGCGCAGGTTCCCCTCCCATGTGTGTTGTACACACACCTGTGTGTTCTGCACACATGTCAGTTCACACAACAGAGCCTCATCTGCAGCCAGGCCACAGGACACCAGGAGCTGCTGTGTGTCATGCTGACCACCAGATTCCTGACCAGATGGCGTGCTGGAGCCTTCGGGTCATGGCCACTCCAGGAGCCTCCTGTGCTCTTGCGTGGATTCTGTGCGTGTGACAGTGCTGCCTGCTCTTGGTGGTTTGTGCATGCTCGTTATACCTGTGCACCCAGGCTCTCATCAGCCTCTCCTCAGTCTGTCCTGCGCAGTCTTTTGGTGAGCACAGCTCACACATATGACTCTTGTGTCCGCTCATGGCTAAGGTGTCTCTTTTCTGCATGTGGCCCAGCATGACAGAGTTCTCAGCCTTTTCTTCTAGCGTGGTTATTTCGGCCTCAGCTGCAGGTCTACAAGTCATTGGAGCAGTCTTTATGAGCAGCATGAGTCAGGCGGGTGTCCTGGCTTCACGGGTGCCTGGTGAGATGGGGGGGTGGTCTCCACTGGGCTCCAGTTCCACTTGGGTGGCCTCACTCCTAAGTGTGGCTGGCACCTCCCTGTACTCTGGGCTCCACTGCTGTTCCCTGAAATAGTAGATGTGCTTCTCTTAGGGGTCCCAGGGACCCCATGGTTAGCCCGGACACTGGCAGTCCACTTCCTTGCCCAGCACTGTGGCCAGGGCTCCCAGCACAGGGTCTTCTCAGAGGATGACCTTTGAGGTAGCTTCGCTCCCATTTTCTGCTCACTTGGGTTTTGCTCTCTGTTCTCTGCCATCTTCGGGTCACAGTGTTCTCTGTGCCTTCTTCGGTCACAGTGTTTCTTTTCCCTGCTTCCTGAGGTGTAGCCCTGATGTGGGTGTTACAGCTTCCTTTTCTGAAAATGCTGAGTGACCCTGAGACGCAAGTCCTTATGTGGCTCAGGTAATGGGGTTGTGGTTGCAGTCACTGGAGGGGGCAGCTGGCCGAGCAAAGCTGACTTCGCCCTGTAGTGCACCCACCCTTGTTTGTAGCAGGAGTTTCTCAAGGGATCCCCTCTCTGTCCCTGTCAGGTGACACACTGGTGACATGCCAATAGCCTTGGGATCCATACTCGCACCCCCCCCCACACACACACCTTCCCTATTCTCCCTGCAGGTCTCCACCCTTGCTGACCTCCAGCCGTACATGAGCCAGTTTGTGGAGCATCTGCAGGAAGCATATGGACTGAGGGATGCCGTGGTTATCGAGCAGGTCCCGTCGCTGCCCCACAAGGGTCCACCCCTGAGGCCCCTTTTACCACGGGGCCGACTGCAGGATTGGGAGCGTGATCCAGGCCATTCCAGCTGCTCAGAACCTACTTTCCCCCTCTTTGTACCTCTCCTCCGGTCACGTTCCTGGTGACTTGATAGTAATGTCTCCCACGATCTTGCCCTCGCGGCTATGGGAATGCTTCTCCTCCCTTGGGAGATCAAGCTGGATATGTCAGTGACTCCTTCCAGAACCTGCACTCCTGCTCATTCCAGCAGGGAACAGTCGTGCCCACTAAGTGATGCTGAGACCCCTGGACAGTTTCCTGTCACCCTCAGGGACCCAGAATCAAGGCCACAGGGCTCAGTGTCCAGAGGCCATGACCCTGCCCAGCCAGCACCCAGGACCTGGACACTGTCCCCGCCCCAGAAGGGCCATCTGTGCCAGCCGTGGCCACTGGCCCTCACACCCCACCCTCTTCCTCCACTTTGCTTGTCCAGAGCTGCTCTCTGAATGAGACTGGCAACAGCCTGTTTGACTGCTTCCTGCGCTTCCTTCGAGGCAGTGTCCTGAGGATCGGGGGCAGGTGCGTTGGCCTGAGCCCCATCGGGGCCCCAGGGCTCCTGTCCTCCCGGTCTCCATCCACATCCTGGCGCAATGCGTGTGCGCATGTGTGCACACATGTTCACTGTGTCTGTGTGCATGTGTGCGTCTGCTGGGTGTAGCTGGTGCCTCTCCAGGCCTGCCCACCTCCAGCCCTCATCCCTAGGTGCTACGTCCAGGGCCGGGGGATCCCCCAGGGCTCCATCTTGTCCACGCTGCTCTGCAGCCTCTGCTACGGGGACATGGACAATGTGCTGTTCTCCAGGGTGCAGCAGGACGGGTAAGGGCTCCCCACTCCAGGGTGCCAGGTTATTGTAGTTGCTTTGTCTTGAGGTGCCAGCCAGCCATCGCCCCTCCCCCAGGTGCTGCCAGGGTGGTGGTGTGTGGCTAGGCATGGGCCCACGGCTGGGCAGTCAGGCTTACAGGATGTGGGATATGGGAAGAAGCCATCCAGTGGGTCCCTCTGTGCCCACAAGTATCCCTTGGGGATGGGGCTGATGGCTCAAGGGTGAATCTCCCAGCACCCTTTGCCTCGACTGTTGGCAAGACCTGGGCTGCATCCCAGGTGCAAGCTTGTCCCTGACCCTGTGGCACGCCCCCGCCTGTCAGGTGGTGCTGGTGCAGCTGGGCTCCTGTGGTCCTGGTGAGAGCAGCTGACCTCAGTGGGAGCCCTGTACTCTGCCCAGACGCAGGCAGGCGGCGGGAAGGGAGCCGGTGTACGCGCAGCAGCCGTTCCCAGTTCTGGGTGTTGTGGGTGTCCTTTACAGCTCAGCTCTGACGTAGCACTGGTCGTCAGCAGAGGTTCAGCTTCCAGATTAGAATAAACTTAGGTGAAAGGAAAAAATTTAACTCTTACAGTGCTGCTGCATTGTGTGGCCATCCTCTGGGATGAAGACCCAAAGCAGGGTCCCATGGGACACTGGATGCTGGAGTCATTGTATGGTCACCCCGTGTGGAGTATATGCTTCCCTGGACAGGGCTGAGGACTATGGAGTCATGTGGGTTAAAGCCTCAGGAGGCTTGGAAGAGAGCAGGCATCCAGCTCTGCCCCAGCCCAGCTCAGTCATGGGGTGGGGAGGTGAGCTTGAAAGAGCAGCTTGGCATCAGATTCGACTGTGGCCTATTCAGAGTCCCACAGCTGGGGTACCCTGGGCACTAAATAATTAATTATTATTATTATTAATTAATTCTTTCCCTATCAGGGCATTGATGAAGGAACTTAAGGTGTTTGTCTAGCCTCTTTCCAGAATAGCCTTTTTTTCTTCCATGTGTGAGTTCTGAGGTTGGAGGGCTTTGGGGTATGTGTGTATGTGTTTTTGAGAGATAGGGTCTTGCAGTGGAGCTCAGGCTGGCCTTGAGCTCACTTTGTAGTCCAGGCTGGTCTCAAACTCGCAATGATCCTTCTGTCTCAGCCTCCTGAGTGCTGGCATTACATGTATCACCATGCCCAGCTTTGAGGTTTGAGTTTTTGATGTTGGATCCCTGACAGTCTGTGTTAGGCATATGACATGACCTCCCCCCCAACACACACACACACACACACTCTCTCTCTCTCTCTCTCTCTCTCTCTCTCTCTCTTCTTGTTGCAGGCTGCTCTTGCGCTTGGTTGATGACTTCCTGTTGGTGACCCCTCACCTGGACCAAGCAAAAGCCTTCCTTGGGTAAGGACCCCACTCCTGTGCCCCAAGTTTATGACTCCCATTTATAGCCATGACTAGCGCCACTCATGAGCTGTGTGGTGGGGCTGAGCTGCTTCAAGGCTGGCAGGGTCTCTGCTGCAAGGCCTGAGTTGTCCATGGGCCCAAGGGGGGGCACAGCCCCCACACCCTCCCGTGAACTACTCGATGGCTGGAGGTCCTGCCCAGAGCTCATCCTGAGAAGGGCTGTCTGCAGGGACCGTTTCATCCCTTCGGACCTGTCTGTTTCCTGGGTGTGGCCACTCCTGGAGGGAGGCAAGAGGTTTGCTTCACACTGATAGGGAAGTGGCTGGGGCCTCCTGTAGCCCAGCAATGTAGGACTTACTGACTAGTGGTGATCTGGGGGCTGGGGAGATGGCTCAGTAGAATAAGTGCTTCCCTGAATAGTGGTGATCTGATATTGGGGTCCTCAGGGGTCCCTGCTTCATGATGTGGTCCACTGGGATTTCTGGACAGGCCCATGGTGCAGGGACCAAACCAGGGTAACTCTAGGCCCAAGGTTGGCCTTAAAGTTGATCAGGCTGAGTGACCCTGCCTGACAGAGATTAAGCCTCACCCTGCACCCTGCAGCTCTGTGGCTCTGACCTTTTCAGGGTGCCTTTACCAGGGAGGAGAAACTTGGAAGTGCTCAAAGTGAGCCTCCACACCACTGCCCAAGAGGAGTGTCCGGCGGCATGGGCATCTCCAGCCAAAACCCACTGGCCGCACCGGGCTCTGCTGTCCTCCATGCCCTCAAGCCCAGGGATTACATGAGTGGTGCTTGCTCGGATGGGTGACACAATGGAGTCAGGTCCTTGGTGGCCCCTGCCGTGTCCATAGGGCTCCAGGGCCCCAGGACTGTGACTGCGAGGACAGAGGACACTGTAGAGAGTTGGGGACAGCTTTGGCCTGGGGGTCTTGGTCCAGGATGTCAGGTCCCCAGGAGGAGGGGCAGCTGGGAGGGTCACACAAGGGAGATAGAGCGTGACTCAGTGCAGTGGTGGCAGTGACTGTATGGGGCAGAGTCCATGGGGTGGGCACTATGCCTACCAGGAGGGAAGGCCCAGGGGATCTCATAGAGAAAGCCTGTACTGAGGTAGGAAGTCCCTTTCTTAGAGCCAACCAAGGCAGACGCTGGCCACACAGAGCCCGTAGTGGTGCACAGGTGGGAGAATGTGGGTCATGGGGATGGGCCTGTGGCCCTGGTAGGAGTGAGCAGGTCACTGGGGACAGAGTGCTGCCATGTGGACACCTGAGACCCATCAGAGGTCTCCTGGTTCCTGCTTGGCTGAGCCCTGGGCCCCTTTCTCACTGGCTCCCGGCTGAGTTCTGACCTCTTACCAGAGTCCACAGTGGGGCTTGTCCGCCTCTGCCGGAGCCCTGCCTGTCTCAGATCTCTGCACCTAGGCCATTCTGGGGACCTGAATAGCGGCACTGAGAGCCTCAAGGTCCCAAGTGTGGTCTCCACCTGCAGCTCACCCCCCCACCACCACCACTAGGGCGCTTGTCCAGGGCATCCCTGAGTACGGCTGTGTGCTGAACCTGCAGAAGACCCTGGTGAACTTCCCTGTGGAGGATGGCAGCCTGGGCGGCCCGGCCCCACTGCAGCTGCCTGTGCACTGCCTGTTCCCCTGGTGTGGCCTGCTGCTGGACACACAGACCCTGGAGGTGCGCTGCGACTACACCAGGTATGCACCCTGGCCGCACAGCAGCCGACCACGCACATAGGGTATCCACAGCCGCAGGGCGACCCTTCCCATCCAGGGGACTTACATGCATCCTCCGTTCCTGGAAGGGGCGTTGCACAGACTTTGGGGTGCACCATGTACCTGTAGAGATGCAGCCAGACCCTGAGCCCAGGTCCTAGCGCTCATCAGATGTAGAAGTCAGGCTGTTGCTTTTGAAAGTATGAGTGAAAAAAAGTTATGATAGGAGACAACCTTGCTCTGCCTCCTTGGTGACTCCAGCTGTCAGCTTTATCATCCAGGGCTGGACTCGCTGTCCCCACGGTGCTCCCAGGAAGTGGCCACCTGCACGGAAGGAAGGCAGGTGTGGCACTCAGGAGCCCAAGATGAACTCTGTGTAGCAGCCCACAGTGCAGGTGCAGCTCGGCCTCCTGTGAGCCTCCTTGAGGCTGGAGCCCAGGCACGGCGCTCCCTTGGGACATCTGGTGGGCTCTCGGGTGAGATGGCCAGCAGTGTCTGAAGAAGAAAGAGCCACAGGCATTTTACTCTACCCTAGATCACAGCTTGGGTGGCACAGTTTGAGGGGACTGACCAGCAGGGTGAGAGAACTGAAGAGAAGTCACAGCCACCCTTTGAGGTTCACAGGGCTTTCAGGACACCTGTGAGCTGAGGACACCACGGTCTGGGATGGGCCCATCCTTTGTAGAAAGTGTCCCTGCTCAGTCATCTGTTGTGGCTCACGACCCCTGCCATGTTCTGAGTGTCATGTTAGTGGTTGGTGTGTGGCAGTGCGTAGAGGGGAGGATAAGGAAGGCCTGTACATGTCCAGAGGCCACCAGGCCTTTCCCAACCATGCCCATGCCATGGCTGGCATGGACTATTGGCGCAGAAGCTGAGGAGGACCAGCTGGCTGGCTTGCTGCACGCTGGCCTGCCATCCACGGGAGGGGTTGATCTTTTTTCTAAAGAAAGCTGACTGGAGAGAAGTCACACCCTTCACATGCTACATACATAAACCAGAACAAATCTTGGTGCGAAAGGATTTGAACACAAACAAAAGGAGAAAGAACGCAGTGGACCTGCAGGAGACAGAGGCTTGTGTTCCGCACCATGGTGTCAGAAGGGGAGCAGGGGCTTCTGAGCAGGATGGGGCTTGCTCTGCTCTCCTTCCTCTCCTGGATGTCAGGTGTCCGTGCCATCTCAGTCTGGGGCTGGCAGCCCTTGAGAGTAGCTGTCGTACTGCTCCTTGCTCCTGGTCATGCAGCCTGTGTGGGGTGCATCCCCATCACCTCTGGATCCCTATTTCATACTGCCCATGGCCACCCACGTAGGTCCTGGGCAGCAGGTCAGGCCAGTGGGGAAGGCGCTACTGGGGCAGCAGCCAGCTGCACACTGCAGGAAAGAACACCACGTGTGTGCACACCATGGTCCACTGCCCCCACACTCATCCGTGCTCCATCACCAGAGCTGGCTGCAGTGAGCCCATGGGGTGGTGTCTCTTGAAGGCCACCAGTGTCTCCACACCAGCAAGAGGGTCCTAGAGAGGTTGACCGGAGCGGCAGAAGTTCTGACCGTTCCAGTGGCAGAGCTGCTAGACACCAACCTAGTGAGACCTGTCTGCAGGCATCCACCACAGGCTCTTGGTCGATCCGTGTTTCTGTCATCAACATCACATTTCCAAGAGGATTTAGTGATTTGAAGAGTGCGCAGGCCGAGCATGAAGGTGCAGCTCAGAGTGGGCTGGACACACCAGGTGTGCAGTGTGAGGACAGAGGAACTTGAGGTGTGGGAAGCTGCCCTTGCTTTCTGGGTGCTGTGTGACCCTCACCTCATGGCTGTGGCACAAGGACAAGCAAGACCCCAGTGAGCTTTAAGCAGACATCTTAGCGATGGCCTGCAGGCATTGTCCAGGAAAGTGTGACATGTGTGCCCAGGGATGTGGGGCCAGTGGCCTTGTGATTTCTTGGAAGATTAGTATTTTGGCTGAGTCACATGGATTTTGATAGCCTCGTTTGTCATGGTGACTGAATGTGTACAGTGGGGCCCAGGGTTGAGGTGAAGCTGACACTGCCACTAGCTACCCTGCCTTGTGGCCCGGGGTCCAGGTCTTGCCTTGCCAGAAACAAGTGGAGCATGTCACCTGCACCAGGAAAGCCCTGTGTGTGTCCAGACACAGCTGGCCTCACAGAGGAGGGGGTCGGGGGGTCGTAGCAGTGGCATCCGTTCTGTTGTGCTGCAGTTACGCCCGGACTTCCATCAGGGCCAGCCTCACCTTTGACCGCAGCATCCAAGCAGGGTGGCGCATGCGCCGTAAGCTGCTGGCGGTCCTGAGACTGAAGTGCCACGGTCTCTTCCTGGACCTGCAGGTGAGTGGCCAGCAGCCTCAGTCTGCACCGCGAGGCCTCCAGCTTGTGGGCTGGATGTCCTGTGTGCACGTGTGCAAGGCGTGCATGCAGTGCATGTGTGCGTGCACATGAGTGCTTGTGTTTGCCTGTGATTACTGCTCACCCAGCTGTCCCCGCCACCCTCCAGCCCTGTGTCCTTCCTCGCGGGTACAGAGGCTACAGCCCATGAGCCTTCTGCGGTGACTGCTTCTCACTCCCCTTTGTGTCAGTGCCCCTGGTGAAGCCTGACTGGGCTTCACACGAGAGAGGTGGCTTCTGCTCACCGGACCTCTGCATGAGGAAGGAGCAGGAGGTCGCCCGGGGCCCTGCTGACGCTCTCTCCCTGTGGCCAGGTGAACAGCCTGCAAACAGTCCTCATCAACATCTACAAGATCTTCCTGCTCCAGGCCTACAGGTAGGGCTTGAGTGTGGCCACCAGGGGGCACTAGAGGCCTGGCAATACCTTGGCCATTGTTGTCCTGAGGCTCGGGCTTGATGGGCTAGACCTGCCACGTCCTTCGTCCCCAGTGTCCTGTGACACTCTGGCCTGTGAGGGGGTTGGGGTCCAGAGAGCAGAAGATGAGGCACTGCAGTGGTGTCGCTGACCTGTACCCCACACACTGGCTGCCTGGGCCCACAGCTCCAGGGACACTTTGTTGGGCAGGTCCTGAGGGTGGGCTGCATGGGCAGTGTGTAGGTCACGCTTCACCTTGTGTGTCACCTGGACACTTCCCCTCGCCCACCAGATTCTGCTGAGGGGCCAGCAGCAACCTCTGTGGCTGTCACGGGAAGGAGTGCTCTGTGGAGTCCACTGCGGGGCCAGGGTCTGCCTGGAGTGGGGCACATGGGCACCCAGGATGCAGCTAGACAGGGGGCAGCTGCTGTCCGGCGTTCCACACCCAGCCCCTTCCCACAGGGACCTTCTGGTCCCCAGTGCTGAGTGCAGGGGAAGTAAGCACCGTAGAACACAGGCATGAGCTCCGTGTTGAACATCGGGCTGGGCGTGTTTGGTGTGATGTAAGACCACTGTCAGCTCCTCAGTAAGGAACTGAGAGAGAAACTGGGCAGCATTGTGCGTGTCTTAACGTGAGCTCCTGCCCTCTCGCCCTGGCTCTGCCTTGATGGATGTCCCATCATCCTCAGGGGTCTGTGGGCTGAGGCCGACGCTGCTGTTGAGGTACCTGGCGGAGCCTTGTCAAGCGATAGTGTGCATATATGAGAATGTGACGTACGTGTGCTTAAGCCCATATGTATACACATACAAGCTGCACGTAATACATCCACGCAGTTAGTTGTATGTATACACAGCCACACGTGCAGTTCATCTGTACACGTAGCTGTTCACAAAGCCACGTGCGTGCAGGAGGCCTTCCCCGTGCCACCTTCATCACTCGGGGCCGCGCTGTGCGCGCGGCGTGAGCGTGTTCCTCTCTGCTCTCCCAGGTTCCACGCCTGTGTGCTGCAGCTGCCGTTGCACCAGCCGGTTAGCAGGAACCCTTTCTTCTTCCTTGGCATCATCTCTGACTCTGCATCCTGCTGTTATTCCGTCCTGAAAGCCAAGAACCCAGGTGTGCGCGGGCCAGGCTGGCCGCAGGGCACCGTCACCAAGACGCCTGCAGAGCCCAGGCTGTGGGAGCCACAGGCCAGGGCCATCGAGCGCAGGCTTTAGAGCGTGGGCCGCGGGTGCTCGTGGATCCTTACCCTTTGTGTGCTCTCCAGGGATGTCTCTAGGGGCCAAGGATGCTGCTGGCCCATTCCCCTCTGAAGCTGCCCGATGGCTCTGCTACCAGGCCTTCCTGCTCAAGCTGGGTCGTCACTGTGCCTCCTACAAGTGTCTCCTGGGCCCGCTCAGGACAGGTGGGCACACATGGGGGAGCACTCTCCTCAGGCCCTGCCCTGTCTTTGATCACCGAGTGCCAGTGTGACCCCCTTGGTGATTTTCTGCCCTGGTTGCACCCAACACCTGGGCAAGTCGTCCTCAGCCCAGAGTCAGTCCCCCTCCCCAGCCCCCCTGTCGCATAGCCACCACTGGGTCCCTCATCTGAGGCATGTAGGTAGGAGCCTGTCCCCCTAGGCCACTCGAGGCCTGTCTAAAGACAGTTATCTCTCCCAGAGGAGCCTGAATCTTTTCACTCTTGCAGCCCAGGCACAGCTGCGTGGAAAGCTCCCCAGGGTGACAATGGCTGCTCTGGAGGCTGCAACTGACCCGTCCCTGACCATGGACTTCAAGACCATCCTGGACTAAGCCAGCCCTCCACCAGCTTCACCTGGACCCATCTCAGGAGGGGCCAACCTGCCCAGGGCCCTGTTGAATTGCTGAGACCCCTGTGGTTTGAGAAGAGGTTTTAGTGCCTCCTGTGGTGAGGCTGTCCCTCCATGTCTTGGGGCCTGGGACCTCCTTCAGTGCTGGCCACTGGGAGGCAGTTGGGCTCCTACTGTGGGCCCTAGGGCCGAGCACCCACGCTGGTCAGCATCTGCAGGAGCACCACTGCACAGGGATTGGACAGCAGCACTGCCCTAGTGCCATGCTGTCAGGCAATGACACCTTCCTGCACTCCAGGCTGTTCCTGAGCCCTCAGCCAGGGCAGTGGCAGTGAACCTAGGGCACAGTGCTGCAGGGGGCCGTTGGTGAAAGCTCTAAGGCCTCCCTGTCCCTGGCTGTACTCTCCAGGGTAGAGCTTGGAGAGTTGCCCTGGGACTGGCAGTGTGCCTGCTGCCCCTTGTCTGGCCCTGACTTCCATCCATGCTTTGCTCTTGGGCCAAGCAGCTGGGTTGTGGGATCCCAGCTCTGCATCCTTTTGCACCTGCTTCTGTTTTCCCCGTGCAGAGTGCTGCGGGCTCATTTGGCTCAGAGCGTGGAGCACTTGGCTAGGCACAGCACTGCTGTGGGTGCAGAGCTTGGGTATGGGCACTAGGCTGGCACACGGGCGGACGGGACAGGCAGCAGCCCTTTGAGCTGGTCCTCAATGGCAGGGGTTTGGTGACAGGTGCTGGCATGGCCCTGGCGTAGGCAAGGTGGGATGTTCACGTGGGGGCCAGTGTAGGAGGGATATAGGGAAATGGGAGCTGGACCTGCTGGCCTCTGGGAAGGTCTGGGTTTGGGGGGCTATCTCTGGAGGGTTCTAGTGAGGACTGGAAAGAGAACAGACAGCTCCTTTGGCCTGCTGTGACACAGCTGCACCTGACCAGGCAGTAAGTAGTACACGACCAGCCCTGGAAGCCTGGTTGTGGGACAGGGTCTCTAGCCTGGAGTGCGGTGTGGTAATTGGCACTTTGATGACTGGAAGAGCTCTGTGTGTGGTCCTGCGGTAGACCAGTAGCTCTGGAGCGTGACTGGGTAGGTGGCCAGGGACCCATGAGGCTGGGGCCTGCTGGGGAGCGAGGGCCAGGTAGGGCCCGGGAAGGGCTTCCTCCCAGCAGCAGCCCCAAGAGCCCGGAAGGCCTGAGCTGATTCTGCCATGCCAGTGCCCAGGTTTCACCTGTGCCACCAGGAGCTGCTCTGGTGGCTTCTGGGATGCGGTAAGCAGGGCCAGAGTATGTCCATCAGGCGAGGCTTCCAGATGACAGCACCAGGATTTATGACAGCTGGGTGTTGCCTTGTTAGTCACTGCTGCTTCGAGTGCATCCCAGTGACCAAGTCCAGGCTTTTGTGACAGACCCAAGTCCACAGGGCACCTTGGAAGTTCACATGAGGTTCCCTGTGGGAACAAGTACCAGGACCTTGGGCAGCTGGCCTGCCGGCACCAGCAGCAGAAACCATACCACTCTGGGAACAGAACAGGGTGGGGCTCCTGGAGCAGAGGTGCAGCTGGCGCAGGCAGGGAGTCCCCAGGAGGGTGGGACAGCTGAGAGGACACTGGCTCAAGGCACTGTCAACTCATCACTCCTGCAAGCCTCGCCCTGTTTTGCTAGCTGGGTACATTTGCTTCAGCTTCATCCGGGATCCTTTGCATTTCTGCTGAGACCCTGAACTCAACATAGTTGTGTTTTTCTACAGGGCTCGACTCACCCAGTCCTCTGCGAGTCCTGTCTTAGACTCTGGGCTGGGTGCAGCTTGAGACCATTCATGTGGTGTACTGGTTGATTGGTTGTCAACCTGAGAGGTTCAGAAGCTTAACCAAGTAGGCTCAGCAGTTCTGCATCTGAGGACCCAGCCTAGGGCAGCTCATCGCCTGGACCAGGAGAACCTTCAGGTTCCAGCATAGACACTTTGGCCTCCTGATAGGGACTTGCGTGGAACACTGCAGTGAGCTCCAGATCTTGGACTGAATCCTTTGGCCGCCAGTGTGGAGACCTCTGCACATTTCCTCATTTTACTCTGTGACTGACCTTTACAAACCACTCTTGTAATTTCCTATACATGTGTATATTTTTTTTTTTCCTGTACTGGGAATCAAACTCAAAACCTTGTGCTTGCTAGGCAGATGCTTATGCTGCTGAGCTATCTCCCCAGCCCTACATCTTCTAATATATGTTTCTCTAGTAAAACCTTGGACTGGGAGATGGCTCAGTAGAATAAGTACTTGCAAAGGGCCTGAGTTCAATCCCCGATTCTGCAAAAAAAAAAAAAAAGAAAAGAAATTTCCTGCCTGTAAAACCTTGACTGATGCACCTAGTGTGTGCAAAGCCCTGGGTTTGACTCCCAGTACAGCAAAATAGAAAAGTAAAAACACTACATGGGATCACCAAATTTCCGCAGGACCATATGGAAATAAAAGTTTGGAAAATATTGGTTTTTTGATTCCCTGGACCTGGCTTCCCATTAAGCTCAGGGTGTATACCCATAGACAAGGAGAACTCAAAATGGCAAGGGAGTCTATAAAGGGTGGTGAGTGACAGCGCATCATTGTGAAGCCCCTCACGTTGGCTTCTCACCGGCCCCTTGGTCACGCTCTCCCTCAGCGCCAGCACAGCACCTGGCCACCTGGATCCTGAGCAGTGGAGAAAGCCACGGAACGCGTGGGGGTTGCCACAGGCTTGGATGTCAGGCTGCCCCAGGAGCTTGGGGCAAAATAATGCTCCCCAGGAAACCTGCATCTGGGTCCCAGAGCCTGTGAATGTTGCCTGATGTGAGAGACATGCAGTAGACGGGATGAAGCCTGCTGATCACTGGGCCATACGGAGTGCAGTCTTCTTTTTTTTTTTTTAAGAATTACAGATTCTTGAGCTATTCAGCAAGCTAAAGTAGATCAAAGACTCGAGGCCAACTTGGGTAACGTAGCAAGACTGACTCACAAAGATGGAACTTGGTGCCCCCTGGGTTTAATCACCTGCACCACAGAGACCCTCCTGACTCAGCCTAGGTAGGCCCAGTATCATTCTCGGGTCCCTGGAGGTGGAAGAGGGAGGCTGGAAAGAGCAAAGACCGCTGATTGATGCGGGCTTGGGGGTAGGGACGCAGACCCAGGGGTGGGGGCCCCAGACTTAGAGAGCAGGTGAAGGGGGCTAGCCCTTCCAGTGTGGACAGGAAAATACTGCCCTTTAGCTAGCATGTGCTCCCCTCTGCCAGCAGCCTGTTCTTTCCATTTGCTCCTGTAGCCCTGCAGCAGCTGTTAAAGCTCCACGTGCAGGTATCATTTCTACTCAGTGGCAGACTGGCCAGGTGGCAAGACCAGAGAGAGACCGCTCATTGCCCCGAAGTCCCCAAGGCCCAGTGGGCCGTGATGAACGCAGCCAGCTCCGGAGGTCTTCCACAATATCAGCACTTCCGGTGAGAATGCAGGAGCTGACATGGGACTCCTCCCATGGTTTAGCCAAGCAGCCTCCATGGCAGAAGTGCACAGCTACTGTGGGAGGTTTCCACTGGGCCTTGTAAAGCAGGCCTGTCTCAGATGACTGCCCTGTAGCCTCCACCTGTGTCACTGATTTGGAAGTTGCCACTGTAGGACTGAGATTTAAGAACAGCATATGTGGGCCTGCTCCTCTGTGTGAGCAGCAGCCCTCACTCCTTGGGCCCCTTCAAGAGGGCTCCCTGTGCATTGTCCCTGTGCTACAGTACAGGTCCCTGTGAACCTCCCCCAAGCAGCCCTGCTGGCTACATGCCTGGGGGTGGTGGAGATGACAAGGTTGCTCTAAGAGAAATGATAATACTAAGGACTGTGGGCTCCAGACCAAGCCCCGGAAGTGTTCCCAGAGAGGCAGTAGGCATGGCTGGAAGAACACCAGAAAGTCTCCAAGAGGACTCCCAGCTCTGGCTGCTGAAGCACAATAGAGATGGCAGGACGTAGAGCCAGGACACCAAGAGCTGATGGGCGCCAGTACTCAGTGGTGGCACTGAAGGCCAAGGCCAAGTGAAAGTCAAAACTCGGGAGTTGCTAACGTCACTAACACTTTTGCCAGTTCGTGATTTTTTATCTGAATTCAATACAAGAACCCCTAATCAGTTGGTGACAAGACACGTCAGGGGCCTCCAAGAACCATTGAGATGATAGGATGAGTATAAGCCACTGGATTCCCGTGATTTTTATGGCAGCAGACAGAACATAAGCACTCGTTCCCAGAGTGAGCCCTGTGGCCACCCCAGGATGGCATGTGGGCTGGCTCCTGCAGCCCAGGTGGAACCGATGTCCTGAGCGCTGACTGGGCCTCACCCTCACTGGGCTGTGATACTTGCGCGCTCCATTCATTACAAAAGCTGACTTGGGTCTGAGTGGTGGAGATTTGCAGCTTCATCACGTTCCAGGTGAGCTGAGGCTGCGATCTGGGGTAGTCGCAGAGGGAGAGATGGAGCCCTTCTGCCGTCAACTGGGACAGGTGGAACCAGGCCCCCAACAAGATGGGCACACCCAGGCTCCTGGAGCCTGTGTCCCACAGAGATAACGCGCCTCGGAGATTGCATCTGGATAGTTGTCGGGAGCCCTGAAGCTGGAAATTGATCATACGTAGGAAGGCAGGGCAGGGCAAGGCCAGTGTGCGGAAAGCAGACTAAGCTACCTCACTCTTACGAGAAACATCCTGTCTGGTCAATTGCTGCTATTAGTTGCTAGGCAACCGAGTATCTCCTGATACTAACTTTGCAAAGGTATAATAAAAATGCCCCTACTGTTGTTCTGGGGTCTTTTGTGAATCAGTCATGGCCATCACCTGACCCAACTCTTCTTGTTTAATTTCTCTTCAGTTCTTATTCTACTGAGCCATCTCCCCGGCCCCTTTTCTTCATTCCTGCTGCCATTTCTTCCCAGGATACACTCAGTCCCCAATTTTTTTTTTTTTTTTGCCTGCTACAGGGACACCTGCTAAGAGATAAGTAAGCAGCAGGAACACTTCCCGAGTGTGTGCATAGGGGAAGGGAAGTGAATTGGTTAGAGCCAGTATTCAACACAAGCGTGTGTTAGTATTGGCGCATCATGTACGGTGTGGGGACGGAGGCTCACTAGGGCCAGAAGGGGTTCTATAGGGCCAAAAATGGGCTCGCTAGGGCCAGAAACAGGTTCACTAGGGTCAGAGAGATAAAGGGCCTTGAAGAGAAGCCAAAACAGAAAATGAGGTAGAATTACTGGTAGTTAAGAATGGGACAAATAATAGTCTCAAGACTCACAGAAGTATATGTATGTAGAAGTAAATTTAGCATGCTTGCTAAATTTACTTTTTCTTTCTGGATTCTGTTTAGAAAGAGTTTACAACCACAACAGATTTGATTCAGGGTGCTCTTTTAAAATCAAGTCCCAAACCCGAACAGGACAAGGAGAATAAAACAAAGGTACAGCGGATAGTTTAAGCCTTCTAGCTTTGCTCAGTTGGATAAAAAAGGAAAAAATTCTTTCCCACTGTGAGCATTTAGTTCTGAGTAGTGCGGTGGTGCCACGGGGGGAGGAGCGCAGGCCCTGGCCTAGGAAGACCCAGCTGGGATTTCCCAGCCGCACGTGCGTCTGCGTGTCCAGTCCAGCCACGGCAGTTGGCGTGTGTCACCAACTACAGTCCTCGCACGTGGAGATAAGTAGGAGGGTCATGACTGGAGCGCTGTGGCCTCAGCGCTCACTATGCACGTTGCTGCCACTAAACTTTGTGCACCTCA